CATATGTCACTTACAAAGAGATATTATGATATTGTTCATTTTAATGATTATGTAGCCTCTAGGAAAAAGTATAAAAAGTATGTACATGCTTCAATAAAGTGTCAGCATTCAGCAGACCCCTCGAGTCTGTGTGTTTGTTGTCCCAGCATTCAGCAGATCCTTTGAGTCTGTGTGTTTGCTGTCCGCTCCATCGCCGACGCTGCCCTTCCACCCTTTTGGGGAATCCCTTACCAGTGGGGACCTTTACAATCTTTGTGCTGGGGCTGGTCCCCGGCAAGAAGGGACATGCACTGAGCAGCAACCACCCTCACTTAGGAGAGAAAATTTAACAAACTCTCCTTTTCTCCAGGGCCTCCCCCATCACCTACTCAGAAAGCCAAGCTCAGGACAGCTTCACCCGAGCCCCAGGACCACGATGGTAGGAAGAACAACTCGAAGCAATACCCAGTGATATGACCTTGGTTTTCCTACTTGGAAAAGAATTGTTCCTAGGAAAACTAGGATGATTCAGTGTTTCAAGTTTATCCAAATCCTGCCAATTACATACGGAAGCAGAAACAGTGATTTTTATCGAAGCCATCAGATCTGGCAATACTACTCAGCTCAACATTCTATTGAATCATGGGGAATAATATCAAATAGCAGAACAGAGGGTAGAANATGTGCAAACACAGGCAAATGCCTCTGGGTATTCCCTGTGAAGGTCGAGGGAGCTGGGGTAGGTGCACACCCCTGCTGTCATCAATGATTGAGGGCTGTCCTAGAAGATGGTCATTCCAGGCCTGTGGTCTGCCATGTGCACAGACAGATCTGCCTTCCTCAGCTTCAGAGAGAGCAGTGAGGGACAGATAATGTCATTAGAAGTCAGCCAAAGTGCAGTGAAGGGGAATGGCTGAGGGGACCAACAGTGACTCCTACATCTCCTGAGAGGAAAGATGTGAACTTTCAATCTGGAGCTCTTATGTGCGTGCATCTTTCTGGAATGAGATCCCCACAAGTTGGCTGCAAGTGAGTTCCCTTGAAATTCAGGCCCTAAGACACAGAACAGGATGTTTGAGCTCAGGCTGCCCTGCAGTGGCTTGGCCACCTGCAGTCACACATCAGTGACATCCTTCAGAGTCCCTGGCTCCAGGATTCTCACACTGGTGATTTAGTGAGTTTCTCTTCCCCTGCTGCTGCACCAGTTTGTAATGTGCAGGGAAAGATAAAAAATCATGCCTGTAAAGGGTTCAATTATGTCCATGTTTTAT